TCTTGAGCTTGAACTTGATTGCTTGAACTTGAACTTGATTGCTTGAAGCTTGAAACTTGTGGAGGAATTTGCAGCGTTTGATCCACGAGCTCTTTCTTGCTTCTTGTTATAACTTCTGGTGTCCTTTCTGAGTTATGAAGACCCCTATTTATAGTTGTGGAAGGGAAGAGTTGTGATAAGAACAAACTCTTTCCGACCAATCAAATTAAAGTGTGACATGGCCGCATTTGATTGGCCAAAACATGTCACTTGCACATGTGGCGCGATTCCATTGGCCTTTTAGTGTGGCTGGGCATGCCTTGTCATTTTGACACATGGCATGATCCTATTGGCTCTTCCGTTTGACTTGGCGCGCCACATCATTTGATACGTGGCACCAAGCTGGGCCTCTAGGAAGATGTAATCTTGGGCTTAATGAAGTGGGCTCATTACTTTAGCCCAATTAAATGGGCTAGCCCAATGGATTAAGACTTATTTATTTAATCCATTTATATTGGACTTATACAATTAATCCAATTATATTAGCCCAATAAATTTATTGGAACTAATATATCTTGAAATTAAAATATAGTCCAAATTATTTTACGGATTTAATTTCAATAAAATTTATATGCCTACAACAGTATGTATATTTGATGTGTCGCATAATTTTCCCTTTTATCCAATTAGTGAAATTTTCAATTGATGGTAAATTATCTTAGATTTGTAAAGGAATCGGGTGAAATGGAAGTAGATGATTAAAGTTATCTTAACTAATTCAGAAGTGAGACTTAGTTAATTGATTAGTATTTTTTTTTAAAAATGTAATTTTTAAAAATTTGCTAAGAGGCTTCCGATTTCGCCTAGCTAATTTGAAGGTTTAGGATATGATTGGATAAATTATTGTAAACTTAAAATATGTGTGTGATGTGAGATGATGAGTTAATTAAAGACAACAAGATTCTTGATTTCGTCTGAATTTCTTAATTATTAATTCCTTCTTAGGAAAAGCCGAGAGGAGTAGTTGAAGTTTGGTCTCTCCAGATTAATGTAATCAAGAGTTAATTAAAGCCTAATCCTGAGAATGATTGAAGGAAAGGAGCTCTTTTTTTCTTTTCTATTGTTTCTTTTATGTGTGTGGAGGGAAAGCAAAATAGAATAGCTGCTAGATTTTCCTTTGGATCACATAATAGAATGGGTTACTTTTAATCAAAGGTCTTCGTTTTGAGCTCTAAAAAAGAAATTTTTTTTTTATAGAAAGCGTTTTTTTATTTAATGGGGTCTATACAATATGAATCTGAATTAATCAGATGAAAAGATTTCAGATATTCGTTAATTAAATACAGAGATTATTATTCAAATCATAGTACATCATAAACTATTGATTAATTGAGTTAGTTGGTGTCACTTGTATAAATTTTTTGTATCTAGAGGACTCACTGATAATAGGTGAATTTGACTATAATCACACCTTAAATAATCACCTTCTTGTGTAGTGTTAATGCTAAAATGGTTAACAAAATACTCTTATTAGTGCTTTTCATGATTTGCAGGTGATATATGTATAAGGAAGGCTAAGGAGCAGTTTTGGAGTCAAAAATTGGAGAAAAGAGGCTAAATGTGTAAATTCCCAATGAAGCTACGCCCTGCCAGCCCTTAGGATTCAGAAAAATGGATTGGCCGCGGTTCTACCGCGACCGCGGCAGAACCGCGGTGGAAGGCAGCTTCAGAACTTTAGAGATTCAGAGAGGGTGATTGGCCGCGGTTCTACCGCGACCGCAGCAGAACCGCGGCAGGCGCAGAAAAGTTCAGGGGTCAAAGTGTCAAATACGGGATTTTTAGACCTAAACCCTATTTAAAACATTAGACTTCGCCCAAGAGAATTATTATTGATTTTTAGGGTTTCTTAGCAAGGAAAAACCATTGTGAGAGAATACTCAAAACATCTTTCTTCTTTACTTTTGATTTTTATGATGAATTCTATCTTAGTTTATTTTCCCATAGCCATGAGTAGCTAAATTCCTTGTCTAAGGTTTTGATGGAACCTATTGGGTGATGAACTTCTTGTTTATGTGAATACAAATTGCTAGTTTAATCTCTATTTGTTCAACTTCGTGTTGGTTGTAGTTAATTGACAGGATCCTCAATTAGCTGTGCCTATTTAGTGTGCATAACTTGGAAAAGAGTGCATATTTAGGGTATTGTTGAACAACACCACTCCTAGATTATTAGAGGAATCTATAATTGCGGGTTTAAAGGCGGAATTAGGGATAACGAAGCCTTGGGTGTAATCTAAAGTGAATCGTGCTAAATAAAGTAAGCTAGTGTATCTCGGGAGAGTGCAATAGTAAATTACTGTGATTACTCGGGAGAGATTTACGGTAAGATTAGCGTTCATGATTGATAGAGATGTGTTGGTAAATTTGTATGAGCATAAACAGAAAGAATTCCATCAATAGGGGAAATCACTGCCTTAGCTTTTTATCATAATTGTTTGCAACCTTATTAGTTTAGCTTACAGTCATTTAGTTACTTGCAAGCGTAGTTGTTAAAGAACATTCAACTGAGATTTGAATATTTGGGAAGCTGGTTCTGAAGAATTAGTGGGTCTGAAGATAGTGGTTGATAGGTTAACTCTCCGTGGATTCGACCCTGGGCGTAATATTCGGGTTATATTTGCAACGTCTGCAGAGTCCTTTTATAAGGCATAGTTGGGTGTGATCACTCACTATTTGGTTACTTTTACATCTTTAGTTGGAGTTTAAAATTGTTATGCTTTATCACACCACACAAGCCAAGTTCATTCCAACTGCAACATTAAGGATTTATACATAGTTTAAAATTGATTCTATTTGTTGTACAATTGTCTTTTGCCAGCAATAAGAACAGTGGACCACGCCATATCTCTACTGGAAAAAAAAAACCACGTATGAAAATAACAGATTTCTTGCAATGTGAGTTCTCTTGTGGAGTCAAGTATGTGTAGGGTAATTTATGAATATCATAAAAATATCAAGAAACAAAGATCCACCAACGCCTTGAAAGCTGAAGCAAAATATACTGATGACACTACAAAAGGAAAATAAAATTCCCAATTATAAAAGTCCCTTATCTCTATTCATCACTGCTCGGACCCACTAATCTTCTACTTATCTATTCATCCAGTCAGCAAGATAATTTGTATAATCCTAATATTGCTTTCACTATTATATACTCCATTCATCTATATAAAATTTAAATTTGAAAATATTTATTTAAATATTTTATTTTATTCTTTATAAGAAAATTTATTATGTTAAGACCATAAGTTTCAAATATATTATAACCATACAAATACTATAATAAGATCATAATTTTTCTTTAATAAACTCAATGCTCAATTAGACTAGCCATATAAGTTGAATGAAAGGAGTATAAAATTCTACACAGAACATAATTTTCACTACTATGTTCATATGTGTGAAATATTTACTCATACATGATGAAAATTTACTAGTATACAATTATCTATCTTCTACTTTTTTTTTCCCTTCCCTTCAAATGTACTTTTGAACGATTAGTAAAATGAGAGCAAAACATGACGTTTTAATTTAACCACAAGTCTCTTTCTTAAAGTTAACCACAACAAACAAACCCAAAAAAAAAAA